CGTGATATATGCAAATTACGAAGGAAGACGGATAAACGATGATTTCTGGCCAGCCATCCCATCTACAATAGCATGCGCGCTTAATTAATTTTAAATCTTTTTCAATTTTCCTAGATCATTATATCCATGGTGTTATTCTTCATAACGTATCCATTGAGCGCTTGCAAATCGCTATCCAGTGACAACACAACTACAACGGTCAGCACCAATGCCGTAAAGAAACTTAAAGAGATTATCAATCTGAAAGAGCGAGCTAACCTACTGAAAGATTGCAATACGACCAAGGGCAAAGTTCTAGACGAGATTATCAAAAGATACAAGAACATTTTAAAAAACATGTCGAATAATGGAGTAAAAAAACCTACCAGATTGAGAATCAAAGATTTGGTTCGTGGGCGAAATATCGTCGACAGTTTTACGAAGCCGTTTACAAACCAACGCAAGCAAAAACTTTCGTTCAAAAATGGTCAGTTTTTAAGCTTGGATAGCAGTGGGAGAGTTAATGGTACCTTTGTGACAGATGGAAACCAAAACAGTGAGTATTTACTGTAAATTTTTCATTGATTGATTCTAAAATTAGCCCTAAGGGAGGTGTTCATGTTAAAGAGGTGTATGTATTAGAGAGGTGCCTGTATTAGCTAGGTGTCCATATAAGAGAGGTGTCCATATTAGAAAGATTATCATATTAGAGAGGTCTTCATATTAGAGAGATGTTCATATTAGAGAGATGTTCATATTAGAGAGATGTTCATATTAGAGAGATGTTCATATTAGAGAGATGTTCATATTAGAGAGATGTTCATATTAGAGAGATGTTCATATTAGAGAGATGTTCATATTAGAGAGGTGTCCATATTAGAGATGTTCATATTAGAGAGATGTTCATATTAGAGAGATGTTCATATTAGAGAGATGTTCATATTAGAGAGATGTTCATATTAGAGAGATGTTCATATTAGAGAAATGTTCATATTAGAGAGATGTTCATATTAGAGAGATGTTCATATTAGAGAGATGTTCATATTAGAGAGATGTTCATATTAGAGAGATGTTCATATTAGAGAGATGTTCATATTTAGAAGATGTTCATATTTAGAGAGGTCTTCATATTAGAGAGGTGTTCATATTAGAGAGGTGTTCATATTAGAGAGCTGTTCATATTAGAGAGGTGTTCATATTAGAGAGGTGTTCATATTAGAGAGGTGTTCATATTAGAGAGGTCTTCATATTAGAGAGATGTTCATATTAGAGAGGTGTCCATATTAGAAAGGTGTTCATATTAGAGAGATGTTCATATTAGAGAGATGTTCATATTAGAGAGATGTTCATATTAGAGAGATGTTCATATTAGAGAGGTGTTCATATTAGAGAGGTGTTCATATTAGAGAGGTGTTCATATTAGAGAGATGTTCATATTAGAGAGATGTTCATATTAGAGAGGTGTTCATATTAGAGAGGTGTTCATATTAGAGAGGTCTTCATATTAGAGAGGTGTTCATATTAGAGAGATGTTCATATTTAGAGAGATGTTCATATTTAGAGAGATGTTCATATTTAGAGAGATGTTCATATTAGAGAGATGTTCATATTAGAGAGGTCTTCATATTAGAGAGGTCTTCATATTAGAGAGGTCTTCATATTAGAAAGGTCTTCATATTAGAGAGGTCTTCATATTAGAGAGGTCTTCATATTAGAGAGGTCTTCATATTAGAGAGGTCTTCATATTAGAGAGGTCTTCATATTAGAGAGATCTTCATATTAGAGAGGTCTTCATATTAGAGAGATGTCCATATTAGAGAGATGTCCATATTAGAGAGATGTCCATATTAGAGAGGTGTTCATATTAGAGAGATGTTCATATTAGAGAGATGTCCATATTAGAGAGATGTCCATATTAGAGACATGTTCATATTAGAGACATGTTCATATTAGACTAATGACTTCCACACAAAAGAAAATGCTACGCTACGACTACGTTACAATTGAAGTGGAACAGCCTTAAGAGTGATAGCTTCAGCAGTCAGCACAGGAACTTCTCGTTCCCTGCCGACGAAGAGCCTTCGTTGTCGCTCAAAACATTAAAATATATAAACGTATTTTTATCGTTTAGCAATTTTCTACATGAAAACAAAAGCACCCCAGGTAATAATGATTCAATCACTTCAAACAAAGAAATTCGTTGCGATGGACAAACATGGACATATTTTGGCCAAAGTAAGTGGAAGATTGTCGTTTAATAGAGAGCTGTCTGTATTAAAGAGGTGTCCGTATTAGAGAGGTGTTTGTATTAGAGAGGTGTCTGTCATAGAGAGGTGTTTTTATTAGAGAGATGTTTGTATTAGAGAGGTGTTTGTATTAGAGGTGTCCAATTTTGGGGAGGTGTCAGTATTCGAGAGATGTCCCTATTAGAGAGGTGTCAATATAAGACATGTGTCCACATTAGAAAGGTGTCTGCATTAGAGAGGTGTAGGCATTAGAGAGGTGTCCACATCGGAGAGGTTTCTATATTAGAGAAGTGTTCGCACTTGAGAGGTGTCTGCATTAGAGAGGTGTCCACATTAGAAAGGTGTCTGCATTAGGGAGGTGTTCATATTGGAGAAATGTCTGTGTTAGAGAGGTGTCGGGCATCAGAGAGGTGTCGGCATTAGAGAAATGTCCATATTAGAGAGGTGTCTGTATTAGAAAGGTGTCTATATTATAGAAGTGTTCGCATTTGAGAAGTGTCTGCATGAAAGAGGTGTCCACATTAGAGAGGTGTCTGCATCAGAGAGGTGTCCACATTAGAAAGGTATCAGCATTAGAGAGGTGTCCATATTAGAGAGGTATCTGCAATAGAAAGGTGTCTGTATTAGAGAGTTGTTCGCATTTTAGAGGTGTCTGCATTAGAGAGGTGTGAACGAGGTTGGTGTCCATATTGGAGAGGTGTCTGTATGAGAGAGGTGTCCATATTGGAGAGGTATCTGTATTAGAGAAATGTCCATATTGGATAGGTATCTGTATTACAGAGATGCCCACATAGCGAGGTGTCTGCATTAGAGGTGTCTGTATTAGAGAAGTCGGCATTAGAGAGGTGTCAGCATTAGAGGGGTGTCTGTATTAGAGGGGTGTCTGCATTAGAGAGGTGTCTGCATTAGAGAGGTGTCTGCATTAGAGAGGTCTCTGTATTAGAGAGGTGTCTGTATTAGAGAGGTGTCTGTATTAGAGAGTTGTCTGTATTAGAGAGGGGTCTGCATTAGAGAGGTGTCTGCATTAGAAAGTTGTCTGTATTAGAGAGTTGTCTGCATTAGAGAGGTGTCTGCATTAGAGAGGTGTCTGTATTAGAGAGGTGTCTGTATTAGAGAGGTGTCTGTATTAGAGAGGTGTCTGCATTAGAGAGGTGTCTGTATTAGAGAGGTGTCTGTATTAGAGAGGTGTCTGTATTAGAGAGGGGTCTGTATTAGAGAGGTGTCTGTATTAGAGAGGTGTCTGTATTAGAGAAGTGTCTGTATTAGAGAAGTGTCTGCATTAGAGAAGTGTCTGTATTAGAGAAGTGTTTGTATTAGAGAGGTGTCTGTATTAGAGAAGTGTTTGTATTAGAGAGGTGTCTGTATTAGAGAAGTGTTTGTATTAGAGAGGGGTCTGTATTAGAGAAGTGTTTGTATTAGAGAGGTGTCTGTATTAGAGAGGGGTCTGTATTAGAGAAGTGTCTGTATTAGAGAGGTGTCAGTATTAGAGAGGGGTCTGTATTAGAGAGGTGTCTGTATTAGAGAGGTGTCTGTATTAGAGAGGGGTCTGTATTAGAGAGGTGTCTGTATTAGAGAGGTGTCTGTATTAGAGAGGTGTCTGTATTAGAGAGGTGTCTGTATTAGAGAGGTGTCAGCATTAGAGAGGTGTCAGCATTAGAGAGGTGTCAGTATTAGAGAGGTGTCTGTATTAGAGAGGTGTCTGTATTAGAGAGGTGTCTGTATTAGAGAGGTTTCTGTATTAGAGAGGTGTCTGTATTAGAGAGGTGTCTGTATTAGAGAGGTGTCTGTATTAGAGAGGTGGCTGTATTAGAGAGGTGTCTGTATTAGAGAGATGTCTGTATTAGAGAGGTGTTTGTATTAGAGAGGTGTCTGTATTAGAAAGGTGTCTGTATTAGAGAGGTGTCTGTATTAGAGAGGTGTGTGTATTTGAGAGGTTTCTGTATTAGAGAGATGTCTGTATTAGAGAGGTGTTTGTATTAGAGAGGTGTCTGTATTAGAAAGGTGTCTGTATTAGAGAGGTGTCTGTATTAGAGAGGTGTCTGTATTTGAGAGGTTTCTGTATTAGAGAGGTGTCTGTATTAGAGAGGTGTCTGTATTAGAGAGATGGCTGTATTAGAGAGGTGTCTGTATCAGAGAGGTGTCTGTATTAGAGAGGTGTCTGTATTAGAAAGGTGTCTGTATTAGAGAGGTGTCTGTATTAGAGAGGTGTCTGTATTAGAGAGGTGTCTGTATTAGAGAGGTGTCTGTATTAGAGAGGTGTCTGTATTAGAGAGGTGTCTGTATTAGAGAGGTGTCTGTATTAGAGAGGTGTCTGTATTAGAGGTGTCTGTATTTGAGAGGTGTCTGTATTAGAGAGGTGTTTGTATTAGAAAAGTGTTTGTATTAGAAAAGAGTCTGTATTAGAGAGGTGCCTGTATTAGAGAAAGTGTCAGTATTAGAGATATGTCTTAGAAATGTTTCTGTATCAGGGAGGTATTGATATTAGATTTAGATAGGTGTCTGTACTAGAAAGACTAAAGTGTTTGTATTAGAAAAGAGTTTGTATTAGAAAAGTGTCTGTATTAGAGAGGTGCCTGTATTAGAGAAAGTGTCAGTATTAGAGATATGTCTTAGAAATGTTTCTGTATCAGGGAGGTATTGATGTAAGATTTAGATAGGTGTCTGTACTAGAAAGACTAAAGTGTTTGTATTAGAAAAGAGTTTGTATTAGAAAAGTGTCTGTATTAGAGAGGTGCCTGTATTAGAGAAATTGTCAGTATTAGAGATATGTCTTAGAAATGTTTCTGTATCAGAGAGGTATTGATATTAGATTTAGATAGGTGTCTGTACTAGAAAGACTAAAGTGTTTGAATTGGAAAGGTGTCCACAATAGAAATATGTCTGTATCAGAATGGTGGAAGAAAAGGTTTGCATTTAATTAAGGCATCATCATCTTATATGGCACTGGATGTAAGTTTTCTAAAGAAAGAATCAATTTCATTATTCTGAAGACATAGCATACAAGCTACATACATAATACATTTTGGTTCTTGTACCTCAGATCTGGAGAGGGGCACACCCTCGCTATATGAATGCCGACTTCTATAGGAGGGTTTTGGCTTATTACTCGCCTCCCCCACAGTTTGCATAGGAAATATCGACCTGACATCTGCCCGCTGCTTCGAGTTGTTGTTTTGGAAATTTTCAGGCAAAAAGAGTCGTTGTGGCCCTTCAGACGTTTCCTGTAGACTTAATCTTTCTTTCACTTTCGCATTTAGTTTGTTCACACGTCTTTTGACTGCTTCGGCTTGCTTCCTCGTTAGGGACGATGTAATGTTTTTGAAATCAATGTCCTCCGCATTTATTTCTTTGCTGTCTGAAATAGAAATAAGCCAGAAGAAAGTGTTTATTCTGGTGTCATAAAATTGTATGGCATTGGACGGGGTGTCCCCCAAAAAACTGGACATTGTTTGATTTCTGATTGACTGCGCTATTGATGTTTGAACAGCAAAAGAACTCATATCTTTTATTCTTTACAAATAGGGTTAGACAATTCGAAATAAACAAAATGGAAAAATTATTAAACGGAAACGCCGTAAACCTTTAGTTTTCACAGCAGCCCTGGTAATCAAAGTCCGATCCGACTACGAATCCGATCAGATTGGTTTCGGATAGGATTTACACATCTCTATTGTAGAATAATGTAAAGGATACAATGCTAATTAATGGATTAATAAGGCATATTAGCAATCGAAGCCAGGAAGGGGTCAAGGGGCCATTTAATAATAGATTAATGAGGGTTTTTTCCACTTACTTCTATAATTTTTCACAATCGAATCAAATCCTGCTTCCTCTAACCACCGAACATCATGCTCCAGTTCTATAATAAGAAACAAACTTTTAATAAATTATTAATTAACATATTAAATGCCAACGCTCAATCTCCCCTAAACGAGTAGAATCATCTGGCATTAGACCGAGTAAAATAATATAGTCAGGCCGCAATGGGTTAACTAGAAACATGGGTAGATAGTCTGATTATAAACCCATGAGCGGAAGCACTCTCCCCTTGACAAGTAAAATCATCTGGCATTTAAGCAGATTAAAATAGAAAAGCAGGGCACATTTTGGCACAATGCAACTCAGTGGGTTAACCCAATTTGACTACCAGATGCTCTGACCCCTTGACAAGTAAAATCGTCTGGCATTAGACAGAGTAAGATAATAAAGCACGGCACATTACGGCACAATGTGACTCAATGGTTAACTAGACATTAATGGGCAGATAATCAGTCTGAATAATCCATTGAACGCCAGTACTCTCTCCTTAACAAGTAAAATGTCTGTCTAATGACAATGTAAGGTAATAAAGTAGGGGGCGAAATCCGATTTAATGGCTTAATTAAAGAACAAGTAAAATATATCGTCAGACAAATAGCATCAGTAAATCTATTAATCTATTAATAGAGTGTGATCAATCAGTACGAATTAACGGCTTGCACTTCGCAATTTGCGAAGCATCTGTACATTTTTGCGAAGCGAAATTGCTTGGCACACAGGAAAATGCGAAGTGAAAATTTTGAAAATATATTGCATAAACATAACGAACATGAATATGAGAGAGCCGAACGCGCTGTTTTTGCTTTTAGTTTGTTTGTCTGCTGTTTATATTGTTTTGACGAGGCTTTGATTTTTGTTTTGTAGTCAGGTTGCAGTCATATAATCCCAATTTATGCTGTAATCAATCACGGTTAATATTAAGGGCGGCTAAATACTACAAACCGGATGTTTACTTTACGCCTAAAAGTAAAATGGTTTGCAGTTTGTCAAAATGCCAGTAATTGGTGCACGGGCGTAGCCTAGGAATGTAATCGCATTTCTGAATGTTTTGACAGTTCACATGAAAACACGACACATATATTTCGGCCTTTCGATCTTATTCATTCAATTGTTTCCTATTGTAAGTAATATTTAAATCAGTTTAGATTTTACTTAGACTTCCTTCGGTACGCGCAGATATGAGAAACGTTTACATAAAGGTTAAACAGGGTTTTTTTGTGAACATTGGTGGCCTTGTTGCTAGTAATTATTTTTGAAAATTATTTGTGAACACACAAATTAAGTATTGCTTGTTGCTTAATTTATAACTAACATTTTTAACAAAATGACCTGTCTTGCATTTTAATATGCTAGCTGAATATAGTAATCACCAGTACAGCAAGACACTGCAGAGTACAATGAAAAGTTCGTTGTCTCAAGCGGGATTTGAACTCGTTCGAGACAATGAATTTCGGAATTTCGTTGTACTCTGCAATGTCAGAATAATATGTAACGAGTTATTCATACGGTATTTCTGAGGATGGTTTTGAAATAGGCAGTATTTATTTACCAAAATTTTTGCGAAGCTGTTTTGACACCTTAATTCGTACCCTGTCAATGCAGTGTACATTTTAATTACTAGCCATTAATGTTACCATTTAAATGATCATCTTCCTCGTCATTGGTCTCTACAACTGTTGGTTCGATTGACTCGTACTCCTTCCAAAACATGTCAAGGTCTGTTTGCCGCATCCTCGGCATTTGACCATCAACCCTTCTCGGTTTTGCCATGATGGAAAAATATATTCTTCAACTAAAATTATGACACAAAAAATATAAATTTTTATCATACCAAACTCTCGGCAACGACTTTGTCTCACATTTCAGACAAATTTACTTTTTACAATGAAATTTGTCTGAATTAAATTCGAAGATTACACATTGTTTAGCGCCTGCTTAAATTAATGTAGGGCACATTATGACACAATATAACTTACTGTCGACTTCACAAAACGTTTGCCAAAATGTTCCAAACTTTGTTTCAAAGTTCCGAAGTTCAAAAGTTCATATATTGAAATTCACAACCTTGTTTGCAAACAAAGCTACTGATTGGTTCATAGTTGAAAGAAGTCAATCAGATGTTTACAGTTTACAATGTTATTATGAACTTTGGAATTTCACCATGAACTTTGCAAACTTTGGAACGTTTTGCGAAATCGATTGTAATGTGGTTGACAAACCCATCGAGTGCCAGCATTCTCCCCTTGACAAGTAAAAATCAGCTATTTTCATCTGTTTCGTGCCAGCTGACTTTATTCGTCATGGTGAAACAACTGGGACCCAAATATTTTTAGGGATGAAGTTTGACAATAACTGCTTTCTGGACTTGAATTTATTATCAACATGACCTGTTGCCCTTATAAACCAGATTATAAATCCTCATATAATACTATAATTCGACTTTTTAGTTATCGAATACAAATAGCTACAAAAATAAGCAAGTGTATATTGGTATCAGAAATTAACACAGATGTGTGCATATTGTCATATTGAAAATATGCACAATGATGATGCATATTGTCCAATTTCGAATCGTATATATGGAATGAGAAATATTAGGCCTTTGTATTGTACGCATTTTTCGAACTTTATACATTCATGTATATATAAACACCTTAGTAAGATAGCCCATATTTCTTCGGGGAAGCTTTATACTTTAGAGTAAACAGTTAATAATTACGCTTCATATTTCAATGGCTGTTGTCATAAGAATGGCATAGTATGTCAAACATTTCACGCTAGACTAATTCATGAAAAAATGCCCGCATCTGTCTATATTTGATATCAAACCTGCCTAAAACTACCTTCAAACATCGATAAAAACGTCTCAAAAACTTACAATTTACTGTTCTAATTGACTTCTAACATCGTAAATTGATACATACTTATCGACATACTCACTTTATATAATGTGGCTGTCTTCGAGTTCAAATTCGATTCGATTTGGCGGTTTTCACCAACATATTTTAAGCTGCAATTTTCGCACGTTCTATCCAGAATATTTCAAATTACAGTTAGTAGCCAGAAAGGTAGGGCTCCATGGTTAAACCAGCTTCTTTCTCGATGTGAAATCGATGAATTTTCAATAAAAAATCCAACTTTTTCTCCCACTATTTATGCTCAAGTATTGATTTATTGTACGACAATGTTGATCGACAAAAAGTACCAGAAAAAATGGACTTCAATAGAGAAAAGTTCGCCTAAGGCTTCCACTTGGAAGGAAATGTTTTCCGAAACGATATTCAGCTCAACTTTCCTTTATATTTTTCTCTTGAAATTCTGTCGTTTTTTCTGTTTATAAATCTTTTTATTGCATATATATTCTTATATACATTATACGAACGATACATTGACAAATATCAGGGTTTGGGGGCATTTCACTCGATATAATTAATTGTTGAAAGGATTTATGTAGATGAATTTCGAGAGTGGAATTTTTAAAAATTTATTAGACATAACCATTTTTCGCAACTGGTTAAATTTAATAAATATATAACAAATCCCTTCGATATATTGGCACACTTACACACACACTTATTGTATCCTTATACTGACATAAAGGATAAAAAATACAATTTTTTACAAATAAATAATAATGGCAAATAAAGGGTTGAATGGTAATGACTAATGCTAATGAATGGACCTTTAACCTTATAACTAAAATTTTGATCTAGACAAGTCTAGACAAAAATTTCATACTAAAATTTTGATCTAGACAAAAATTTCATCACAGCTTGAAAAAGGGCATCACAAAATTAGTAATATTCCGAAGTTTCGTTGCGAAATGTTGTAAAATGCGGATAATATAGCCTTGCGAAGTTTGCAATTTTCAGTCATTTTAGATAACAAACGGGAAATTGACAGCCCCAAACCCCTTGAGGCTGTCAATTTCCCGTTTGTAATCTAAAATGACTGAAAATTGCAAACTTCACAGGGCTATATTTTCCGCATTTTACAACATTTCGCAACGAAACTTCGGAATATTACCAATTTTGTGATGCTCTTTCAAGCTGTGATGAAATTTTTGTCTAGATCAAAATTTTAGTTATAAGGTTAAAGGTCCATTGTTACCAGAATATTCTACAAATTCATTTGGTCACACGAAACGTGATTGGCGCATTCATATAGGAAGTTTATCAATTAATTAGTTGGTGGCTATTTGCATTGTCACGTTCGACTGTTTGTAAAGCGAAACAGTTCAATGCATTTTTTAAACTTTCATCCAATCAGTTCAATGATAGCACAAACGAGACGAAAAGCTCGTGACCTTTCGCTCATAATGGCTATAAAAAAGGGGAACAAATAGAACAGGAGGAGACCGGATGCGCTAAAGCGCACATGCCCCCGCATCACAATACTCACTCATCAGGATTCTAGAATATAGCTATCCAAGAGGCCCGAAATATTCTCTATTAGATTCCTTAATGTTTACGGCAAACGGGAATCTTCAAGTCAACTGTTAGCTGTTTCAAGTTAGGACAATTTGTGTATGAATGGACCATTTGCATTGGTGGCCGGACATTTTGCCGAAAAACACTTTGCCGAAAGACATTCTGCCGAAAGACATTTTGCCGAACGGACATTTTGCCGAACGGACGTTTTGCCGAACGGACAGTTTGACGAACAGACAACTTGCCGAAAATAGAGATAACGTCTGAACTATAAAGATTCGCTCGCTTACAAGGTTTTGGTTTCTGTGATTAAAGTCATTTCCGATTTTGACGACAGAAACTTTGATAGCGAAGAATAGTTTCGTTTTATATTCTTCCAAGTTTTTAATTCATCCGCTGCACAAACAAGCTACCCATAGGCATAGTCAATATGCTAATATATTAATACCATATAATGGTTATTTTACACAATGTTTGAAAATTACAAAGTTGGGAAATGAGACACAGTCCCAAACATTTTGACGAAGGAACATCTCTATTTTCGGTTGTCCGTTCGGCAAAACGTCCGTCGGCAAAATGTCCGTTCGGCAAAATGTCTTTCGGCAAAGTGTCTTTCGGCAAAGTGTCTTTCGGCAAAGTGTCTTTCGGCAAAGTGTCTTTCGGTACCATTTGCATTATAGACTAAATTTTGATCTGGACAAAAATTTCATCACAGCTTGAAAGAGCATCACAAAATTAGTAACATTCCAAAGTTTCGTTGCGAAATGTTGTAAAATGCGGACAATATAGCCTTGCGAAGTTGGCCGTTTTTCAGTCGTTTTGTATTACGCACGGGAAATTGACAGCCCAATCGGGTGTTGGGGCATCAATTTCCCGTTTGTAATACAAAATGACTGAAAATTGCAAACTTCGCATGGCTATATTATTCGCAACATTTCGCAACGAAACTTTGGAATATTACTAATTTTGTGATGCTCTTTCAAGCTATGATGAAATTTTTGTCTAGATCAAAATTTAGTCTATAATGCAAATGGTCCATTAAGCCTGGTTCATACTATCAAAGTTTCTGTGATCGATCACAGTAGCAATTTTTTCCTTAAAACATTTCTTACAAATCCTTCAAGACTTAAAATTTACCTATATACAAAATTCCTATTGTGATCACTTTGATATTTAGCTTCAGAGCCGACGAATACTTCTAGAACTTTAATAACTTTCAAATGGAATTTGAAGTTTACCATTTCCGGTGGTTAGCGGTTTGCCTTACACGTCAATCTTTTAAGCTCTCTATTCTTGTTAAAAAGTTCCCATATAATTATAAAGCCATATTTATATCAATCACCATTCAATGGCAATGCTTACATGAATAGCAAGTGTTTACAAAATCAACTAAACTAAGTAACTAACAATGTACAAGACAAGTTTAACTTGTAATTTTTTCTAATATGTATTTACTAGTAACAATAGGATAGAAAGCTCACCATAAGATCAGCTCTGGTAAACTGGTTTTGTTTTACCGGCCTTTGTTTTTGTCCTCAAAAAGAGGTTTCTATACTTTATACTCTTACATTCAACTGTAGTCTGTACTTTTCGGGATGATTTTTCGTTGTGTATAAAATATGAAAAAGATAGCGCGAGTTTCATGCTGAGATCGTCACACAAAAGAAAGCATTGCAGAAAACACAAGGCTTTGCCTTTGGTTTTGTTAATTGTTTTCGAGTGTTTGTACATCTTGGTGGGACAACAAGCTTAAGTTTTTGACATCGCTTCTCCAACAAGTAAAAAAATTATCAACTATGGCCCACTATATGATTGTATCGCGGATTACATCATCCCTAAACTACCGAAGTCAAGCCTTGATGAGAACAGTCGTATTCTTCAACAATTTAAAATAAATTAATGATATTTCGTGAGAAAATTGAACTTAAAGTTTATGTTACTGTAATCGTATTAGTTGAATTGTCATTGGTTATTACCATGCAGAAAGCGATCGCTACCCGAAATACATATAAGTATACTATCACAGACATAAATGCTGCAAAAATAAATACAAAAAAAACAATTTAAATAAAAATGTTCCTGTAATAATTTCTGTTACCGTTTGGCATAAACAATACCGTAGCATTCTTTAATGTTTTTGTAGAATTTATAAACATCCATGAAGGAATTATATATAGGAACAGCTGCTACCCTGATAACATTCGGCTTTCGTTCATCAACCTGTTTTGAAAAAAAAAGGCTCAGAAAATAAGAATCCGAAAACAAATCCTGTTTTCGGCATAGCCTACCTTATAGCCAAGCTATCTTATAGCCAGGCTATGTAGTAAGCGAGCTTTCGGCATACCTTATAGCCACCGTAGGCTATAAAGTACACCTGGTTTCGGCATTGATCTTATAGCCACGGTTTCTGGCTATAAAGTACGCCTCTGTTTTCGGCATATCTTATAGCCAATAGCCACGGTTTCTGGCTATAAAGTACACCTGTTTTCGGCATTGATCTTATAGCCACGGTTTCTGGCTATAAAGTACGCCTGTTTTCGGCATATCTTATAGCCACCGTTGGCTATAAAGTACTGACACCTGTTTTCGGCATATCTCATAGCCACGGTTTGTGACTAAAAAATACGCTTCTTTTCGGCATATCTCATAGACACAATTATAGCCAAGGTTTGCGGCTATATAGAATACGCCTGTTTTCGGTATAATCCAATCCATGATAATACACTTACAACCACTCCGCGTTTCTGAAGTTCCGCGAAAAATTCATCAATGTTGAAGGGAAACATCAGCGATAATTGGGCACCGCGGTCGGCCGGGTTACTTGGTGTAATCACTTTTATGCAGGATTTTCCTGGCGACGAGCCCTCGTTATCTTGGTCAGTTATGCTAGTTAGTAAATACTCCATGTAACCTGCAACAACGTAACGAAATAAATTTTTTTTCCAAAATGGGCTGTGGTTGCCACCATATACGACACCAGACTTATCAAGGTAAACAAGTCCATCTCACAGTAAAATAGCAGGATTATCTAAAGCGATGAGGGATAGTACTCAACAATATTTCCCATTCACTCTTATACCTGTGAGTAGAAGAGATTTTTTCCGTAAAGCACTCATGGTAGCTCTTGTATGAACCTAAAAGTTACATATAAAAATAAAGCCAGTTTTATACGTCGAATTTTGGTCGCGTCGAATGCACTAAGACAATACTTAATGAGATGATAAACCTTAAGCTTCAGATAAATGTTAATGCCCAGCAGATATATAAAATATTTAAAATATTTACTTAAAATATTTACTTAATATATACTTAAAATATTTACTTAATATATACTTAAAATATTTTTGCTCATTAAGTTTCATTATCTTTTTTTGAATTGCATTCGACGCGACCGAAATTGGACGTATAAAACAGGTGTAAGATTCAGTCAATATACTGGCTATTGGTAATGGTCATATGGTAAAATTCAATTTTAAAATGCTTTGCAGTATTTCTATGTATAGGTATAGGTCGTATAAACGTTGATAATTTCTCCCAAATCAAACTTTTCTTTCTTGAATTTGTCTTTCAAACAATAGACCTTTCCCCTTATGAGTGAAATTTTGATCTAGATATGATATCTGATTATCAATTTCCCGTTTGTAATACCAAATGACTGAAAAACGGCAAACTTCGCAAGGCTATATTATCCGCATTTTACAACATTTCGCAACGAAACTTCGGAGTATTACTAATTTTGTGATGCTCTTTCACGCTGTGATGTGAATTTTTGTCCAGACTTGTCTAGATCAAAATTTCACTCAAAAGGGGAAAGGTCTATTGCAAGAAAAACTGTCTCCTCGAAACTTGAACTCACAGGGGAGTTCTTAAATTAGTTGGGCGTTACCTCCTGTTGTGCTCGTTGGTACAAACCCATATTAAGCGGACACCCCTTCGGCCTTCCTCTTTTTTTAAGTGTCCGCTTAATATGGGTTCAGGGACGCCGGAACTGGGGGGGCGGGCAGCCGTCCCCGTTACCAGGAGAGGCAAGAGGGGCAAAGGTGCCCTTTCAATTTAAAGGATTGCCTCGGCGAAATAGCGAATTGCCAGAAATGTTAGCGCAATTAACCTTTCTCACGCCGCCATTTTTGGGTGGCTTTTCAGCCGAGGTCTGCGAGATAAGTCCACATAACAGCGACTTTTTATAATTTTTTGGACGAATGATAGTAAATTTGCTTTGTAAATGGTTAGTTTATTTTGAAAAATTGCTTTTCACATTGTTTTAATTGTCTGCATTGGTTAACGAGAATTAGATGCCACCCAAAAATGGCGGATATTCGTCATCGTGAGAAAGGCTAATTCTTTTACGAATTTGCTTCAGAAAACGCAAGAAATGCAGTCATGGAGCTTCAAGAATAGCATGATCGCCTGTAGGAGAACCCCCTCACCAGTATCATCCAATAAATAGAAAACATGATTAGGCGAAGTTCACCTCCCCAAACATCTCTTAAGGCCCATTTACACGATACGATTAGTTGTATACGATTGTCATTCTGACGAATGAAAACGAGTGCTAATGCCACGTTATTGCTCACTCGCTAATGGCGAAATTTGAAATGTGACGTTTGTACGCGTGTTTATTCGATCACATACGCCAGAGTAAGAATCGTATACAACTAATCGCACCGTGTAAATGAGCCTTTAGTATATATCAATTCAAAAGTGCCCGTTCACGAAAATCTGCCCCCCCTGCCTTCACATCGTTCCGGCGTCCCTGTATGGGTTTGACCATATCATACCTTTAAGGAGGACAGCAACGACACAGTCTGAAATACTGGTGGGTTAGACATTTGAAATCCAGCTGCTCCATGTAGAGGAACAAATTCTAAACAATGGAAAACACAAGGTGGACGAAATGAATGGTTGAAACCCTGAAACCACGAAAATTATTAAATACAGTCAAGGTATAACTAAAGCTTCTGTTACACGATGTAACGGTTTGTTGATTGTGAGACAGGTTTCACAAACCGTTGCATCGTGTAACAGATCGCGAAATTCGCATCGAGAAGACTAGTCACCAGACTTCACACTTGTAACTTCCGGCCGTGGAAGAAAGGCGCGCGAAACATTAAACTTTGGGTCGTGAATGTTCATGCATGCTAAAATTCGCTACCGAAGAAAGAGTGCTGGAGAACATTGGCCTGGACGAAAGAATGGCTGTGACCTTACGATTTTTAGCAACTGGTGAAATATTTAAATCTCTGAGTGCAGTTTTCGTATTAGTCGCACAGCCATTTCACAATCTTCAAATCACGGGTGCAAAAAAATTCAGAATTCCATCGAGCACGAATGACCTTGGGTATTGAGTTTGATGAACTTGGGTATTGTTCTTCGATCTGATTGGTTGCTTATTCAAGATGTTTCTATAAACGCCTGTGTCACGAAACCTGTCTGCCGTTGCAACAGAAGCTTTAAAAGGCAACAAAAATCGTACGGGTACATACTGTGCTCCATTTGAAACCTTGACGTTTTGTCGTGCCCCCACCAACCTGCAAACCTAAACATATACAGTTAATGGACCATTTGCATTATAGACTAAATTTTGATCTAGACAAAAATTTCATCACAGCTTGAAAGAGCATCACAAAATTAGTAATATTCCAAAGTTTCGTTGCGAAATGTTGTAAAATGCGGATATTATAGCCCTGTGAAATTTGCAATTTTCAGTCATTTTGTATTACGCACGGAAAATTGACAGCCCAATCGGGTGTTGGGGCATCAATTTCCCGTTTGTAAATTCAGGTGTTCAACACTTTGACATGTTCAAATTACGCATTTTTAGGATTTATTCAGCAGATATTGTGTGTTTTTTATATATTTCGATATCTCTACTTTCAAATTTTATTAGTTTTAGTAACAGATAGTTCGTTGCTATGACGACATACGTGTACGAAATTCACTCCAAAATGGCCTATCGTCTCGTTTTGTTGGAAAAGAAGCATGTTGACCCACAATTTTTTTCTTGCAATATTTTACTTGGACGAAAAGCTAACAATTACCAAAATATAAAAAAATTCTGTAATGCCATTTTTTTGGAAAATGCGAAAATGTCGTACTCCTCGGTAAAATTTTTTTGGCATTACAGAATTTTTTTATTTTTTGTAAAATTAAAGTTTTTAGCGGTGCAATACAGCATGCAAAATTTGAACATAGGTCACCAGACAAAGTAAAGAGATATAGCGCATTGTTTTTCTAAAATGGAAAATTCTAATGACGTCAGCAATTGACATAAAACACTACAGAACATGCGCAATGACGTGATATGGCGCGAGCAACTGCTCACGTCAGGTCATTTTGGAAGTTCTTTCATTTTGTTAATCAGTTTCCGCGACCTGCGCGTAAAAATGGTCACTCGGTTTTGAGTTCGCGATTCTTAAGCAGGGTTTTTGTGATAACTATATCGAGTCACCTTAAGGGAACTTTTCTAACACCTGCATGATTGTAATACCTTGGTAAATCAAAGTTTCGTCCGTGTTTCTCATGAACAAAAACTCCCGCTATCCCGCCAGGACCAGCGTTTAAATACTAAAAAAAGCAACAATTAAAGTTGATTCTGATACGGGCACGTCAGCTCTGCTGTAAATTTATCGTGACTAACGCCTGTATTCTAAGAGCTAACTCACACTCAAAGAGTGGAGGTTCAATTTAAGCTTCCCTTGAGTGTCAGTGTTGTTTTTGAATAGCTGGAGGGTAAGTAGGCACATACACAAGTTGTTACAAGCCTGCAAACAAGTTGTTACAAATCTGTTCGCACAAATCTGTTCGCGTATTTGTTTTAACAAGTTTGGAACAACCTGTTGACAACTTGTAACAAGCTTGATGGCATTATCAGACTTGTCACAAGGTTGTTCTAACAAGTCTGATACAGCCATGATATGACGAGAATGTTACAAGGTTGACGACACAAGGTTGTAAAAACTGGAAACCTATGAATTTTTGACTAAGGCTGTAACGGTTAGTGAATTACCGCAATTGAAGACAAGTTCTATCGTTATACCTTATAAGTACACCAACATGCGAAATCCACATTCCAGTCGTGAAGCGAGAGTTCCACATTACCAGCCGCATGAGCCAAATCAAAGCCAACGATACAACCCTAGGGAAACGGTATACTGATTGTTGAAGGATTTTTATAGATTTCGAGTACAAAAAATATAAACAAAACACGCGCATGAGCAGAACGGACTTGACAAGACAAGCATTTTTAGATTAACCAGAAGAATGCAATGAAAAATACAACTATACCGGGTGTCCCCCAAAAAACTGTACGTGTTTGATTTCATGTAACGTAAAAGCTATAAAAGCTATCGCAATGAAACAAAGATCATTGCATTCAGAAAGGACTAACGTACATTTTGATATATAAAACTTGAATTTAGATGCAATATTGAGTGAAATACAACCAAAATCAAAATATTTTATTATTTGACTAGTAACTACATAAGTAATTTTTATAAGGTTGTTTTATGCTAATTTTTGGCATTTTCAAAAACAGTATAGTTCAACGTTCAAACATCAATAGCGCAGTCAATATTGCATGTAAATTCAAGTGTTATATATCAAAATCTAAGTTAGTCCTTTCTGAATGCAATGATCTTTATTTCATTGCGATAGCTTTTATAGCTTTTACGTTGCATGAAATCAAACAGTGTCCAGTTTTTTTGGGACACCCGGTATAGTCTGTGGCGGGAGTCGAACCTGGGGCCGCGCGACTCCAGTTATCAGAGTGATGCACACGGAAAAACGCACAAGTTGTAACAAACCTGCAACAGACTTGTAGCAATGCTGTTCCAACAACATGTCAACAGGATGTGTTCGCAGCGAACACCAAAATGTGTGCAGCCAACACCAAAATATTTATAATCTAAATAACGTATACCTTTTTATGACCGGCCTCTGTGATAGCCTTCATATCAAAAAGCTGTCCTGTGTAATACTGAACACCTAAATGCGGCGAAAAAAGACAATTTTTTCTGTGATGAAATTTTGAACTTTTCTATCAGGTTTTACTGTTTAAAGTACAAAATGGATTTTCATTTCTAAAGTACAAAATGGATTTTCATTTTTTCGGCTATACCATTCATTTAGGATTCACTATTTTTGATCAGAATTTTGGGTATTCTCCCTCGACAGTCGAGATATTTTCGCAGTTACCTGCAAACATTATTAAAGCTATCGAGTCTCCTTGCTCTTCGATAATCTTTAAAATGTCTTCCGTACGTAAACAAGATTCATTCTGAAAAGGCAAATTTAAAGCCTGTATCAAATGAGGATAACCTATCAGTTAAAAACACTTCTATACAAACGGACAGCTAGATAGGGCATCCGTTGTTACTATAGTACAGGATTCGCCGGGCGATCCCAATAGGGCCTGTGGTATTCGTTGAAACCAGAGGCCGCGGAAGCATTTCGAAAGTGGAGGGGCATTGACCAAAAAGGGCACTTTTGTATACGACCAAAATCAAACGATTGTATGTCGTTCACGAGCCGAACGAAATTTTTTGAAAATATGGAGTCTGTATAACGTCGGAAATGGCCTTTACAAAGTCTTTACTACTGCGAAAAGGGCATTTTCTTTCCAGCAAGAGAGGGCTTTGGTTCAAGAAATACTTTTTTCGTTCTTTAAATGGGGCACTTAAGCCCAGAAAAAAGGGCACTTTTTTCCACCTAAAAAAGGGGGGTGGGGCACTTGCCCCCATTGCCCCCCGGTTCCGCGGCCTCTGGTTGAAACACGTCGATATTATAAGGTCCCTAATTTTTCTAACTTGCCTCGCGTGGAACAACTTCAACCAATGACACGGCAGGATCAAAGCCATGAAATTTTATTTGTGAATCGACAGCATACTAAATGAAAAAGCTGGTTTAGGCCAGGCCGGCAAAGCTGGTCGCAGCGTAAACATGGACAGTCCTTGAAACTCATCCCAGTCAACAAAACCTAAAGGCCCCCCCCTCCCCCTAAAGTGTGACTGTTCACATCTTATTTTTGAGTTTATCGAATTTCTCACTCGTTGGTGAGCGAATTTCCCAACAGGCTATCGCCCAATTCGTAGGGGATCCGAGGTATACCTAGTTACCTATGATTTAATATCCTTATCAGAGAAGACCAAGGGTGGGTAGTAACGAAGTAGTTGTAGTTCGCTACTGTAGCGAACTACAATTTTCAAGTAGCCAGTAGTTTTTGACTACTTTTTTAAAACAGTAGCTGTAGTTATAGCGAACTACATTTTGCCTAAAAGTAGCCAAGTAGTTGACTACTTTTCAAAGAGCGAATCGCTATTCGCTACTTTTTAAAATTGTTAGCAACTTGATAGAATAGCATGATATTGAGATACGGTTTGCTTAAAATCAATACTCAATAGTCAATTTGCACTTCTGAACACTGTAGTGCTTACAAACATGTTGCTTTATGTTTACTGTTGCTACTCGTAAGTCGATTTGTTATAGGTTACATTTCAGCCTGAGTTAGTAGATGCTCCAAATACAGTAAAACTAAAAAAAATTAGCGTAGCGAAATAGCGAAATAGTTCGCTACATTTTCTAAGCAGTAGCTGTAGTCAGTAGCGAACTACCTTTGTTCAAAAGTAGCAGTAGTTGTAGCTGACTACATATTTTTGAAGTAGCTGTAGTTATAGCGAACTACAAATATTTTGTATTCAACCCACCCTTGGAGAAGACGCAACCACTTACTGATGTTAATGTAAAGTAGCTCTTTCTTCTCAATTATTTTAAGACCTTGAGTAGAGGTCAGACCTAGGATTGAACCCGAGTCTCCTAGCTTGAAAGGCAAGCGTGCTGACCACTGATCACGACACCTCATGTGTAGTTGCTTTTGTTTAACAGTGCATTCTGTACAGGATTTTTAAAGATGATCCAATTATTCCGATTACAACGAAAAAATTATCGATTCATCGATTAATGGACCATTCCCCAATTAAGGCCAAAAAAATGTGGGTTTCCGGTTTCTTCTTATAAAAACTTAGGTAGGGTAGGTCGGTTTTAACTTTTTTTTTAAACTTTTTTTTTTATTTTTCCTAACAAGCGGACGCCATTTTGTTTAGTCAGTGCTTCCACAATCAAAGATAAATTTCCCTAATATTGCCTCAAATTTCAATTTTCCACAAACTTTTTCCTCTAAGTGGAAACACTTACAAGCATAATCCAATAAAAAAGTTTAGGGTCAGGATTTCGACGTCGAAAAGCTAGGTAGGGTCGGGAAACCGGAAACCCACATATTTTTTTTTTGGCCTAACCAAAATTTTGATCTCAACAAGTCTAGACAAAAATTCCATCATAGCATGAAAGAGCATCACAAAATTAGTAATATTCCAAAGTTTCGTTGCGAAATGTTGTAAAATGCGGATAATATAGCCTTGCGAAATTTGCAATTTTCAGTCATTTTAGATTACAAACGAGAAATGGTTACCACTTTTCCAAAATTTTGATCTTAACTAGCCTAAACAAAAATTTCATCACAGCTTGAAAGAGCATCACAAAATTAGTAATATTCCAAAGTTTCGTTGCAAAATGTTGTAAAATGAAAATAATATAGCCTTGCGAAGTTTGCAATTTTCAGTTATTTTGTATTACGCACAGAAGTGGTAACCATTTCCAGTTTGTAATCTAAAATGACTGAAAATTGCAAACTTCGCAAGGCTATATTACCCGCATTTTACAACATTTTGCAACGAAACTTTGGAATATTACTAATTTTGTGATGTTCTTTCAAGCTGTGATGAAATTTTTGTCTAGACTTGATGAGTTCAAAATTTGGGTTAATTGGGGAATGGTCCATTGGGAGCAGCTCCATATCAGATTAATTAATTAATTGTTTCTACTTTTTCTTAGCAGTTTTATTTGCTATAGTTTCGGAGTTTCCTGTTCATAAAAATGTATTTCAGGCATGTGGAATAAAATCAAATTTTCTCTTTGATATTGTCAATTTTTTTCGAAAATTTTCCCCGATCTATATTGAGAATTATCGCTTTTAGGTAAGCAATTTCTTGACATGAAATTTCGAGAGTTTCAATAGGCAATTCCAGCATTTAATTTTGCGCGCAGGGGGTGATGGGAAGTAAGGTATCATATCGCTGATTATACTGAAAATGTTCAACAAAAACTGCCGAAACAACCAAAATGTTTCAATATTTACAGGTATAAGCTATCACTCCGTGTTTACACGACCACCATTTTTATTTTTTCAGCATAATCGGCAATATGATACCTTACTTCCCATCGTCCCCTGCACCTCAAGAGTATTTATATATTAGACAAATAAGAGAAAAACACTCATAAGCCATACATAATCTGATGGAAAACTTTTCCCTTCAATCAAAATCTTGTGTCTGTCAGGAGTGGGTCGGTAGAAAGGAACCTAAACGCGAACACAATTTTGACGTTTACATGAGCGCATTATATTAAATATCAAGTTATAATGAGAACAATTTTAAAACAAGTTTTCAAAATTCGAATTATTTCGTACCATTAAAATGTGCAGATTCACACTCAATGTGTTCATCACTACAACTTCATATTCCTTTGCTCCTATCAATATTATGTCCATATTAGGTGTTTGTATTAAGTCGTGTTTACACTACAAGCGTGCATGGCCAAGGCCAGGCCAAGGTAAATATGGCGCGTTTACACCATTACACTATTTTTTTTGAGACTGGCTCACTTTGGCCTAGAATTTTGTAATTAATTTTGTGTATTTTTATGTGTTGTGACGTTGTCTGCTGGTTGTCCGCTAATCTCTCACTGTGGACACACGTTGCCATGAAAATAAGGCCCAGGCCAAGGCCGAAAGTGTTTACATTTCCACAAGCCTAGGCCAGACCTAGGCCACCGGTTGTAGTGGCCCAGATTTCCTGGCCTAGGTCAGGCCAAGGCTAGGCCAAAGTCTGTTTACACTGTCAAAATGTAGGCCAAGGCTAGTAGTGTAAACACGACTTTAGAGAGGTGTTCGTATTAGAATTAGAGAAGTGTTCGTATTAGAGAGGTGTCTATATTGGAGAGGTGGCCAAGTAAGAGAGGTGTCCATATTAGAGAGGTGTCCATATTAGCGAGGTATTCCTATTAGTGAGGTGTCTGTATTAGAGAGGTGTCGTATTAGAGAGGTGTCCGTATTAGAGAGGTGTCTCTATTAGAAAGGTGTCTGTAACAGAGAGGTGTCAGTTCATAGAAAGGTATCTGTATTAGAGATGTGTCCCTATCAGAGACGTGTCCCTATCAGAGATGTGTCCATATTAGAGAGGTGTCAGTATTAGAGAGATGTCTGTATTAGAAAGATGTCTGTATTAAAGAGCTGTTAGTATTAGAGAGGTGTCAGTATTAGAGAGATGTCAGTATTAGAGAGGTGTCAGTATTAGAGAGGTTTCTGTATTAGAGAGGTGTCTGTATTAGAGAGATGTCTGTATTAGAGAGATGTCTGTATTAGAGAGATGTCTGTATTAGAGAGGTGTCTGTATTAGAGAGATGTCTGTATTAGATAGATGTCTGTATTAGATAGATGTCTGTATTAGAGAGATGTCTGTATTAGAGAGATGTCTGTATTAAAGAGCCGTTAGTATTAGAGAGGTGTCTGTATTAGAGAGGTGTCTGTATTAAAGAGGTGTCTGTATTAGACAGCTGTCAGTATTAGAGTGGTGTATTAGAGAAGTGTCTACTGTATATTAGAGTGGTGTATTAGAGAAGTGTCTGTATTAGAGTGGTGTCTTAGAGTGGTGTATTGGAGAGGTGTCCACAAGCAGTATAATATTACATAATAGAAGAACATCTTCAATATCAAAGTGATCTTACCAACAATCTGAGCGCTTAGTCCATTCACAGTCTCATCTATTGTCAACCATGGTTTATCCTCAACATGAGCATGACCTAAAACGCCTCTGTAGGAAAACACTTTGGGACATGGTGGTAGTGATGATAATGGTGGTGATGTTTCAGATTATGGTAGTTTTGATAGTGGTGACGATGATGATGGTGAAGATACCCCGGTTCTGGTTTACGGGTACGGTTGATATACACGTACGCATACCTGTACATCGGTGAACGACTTGTAACTTAAGAAATCCAAGATATTCCGGCGTGTGAAAACCGATCATAGAATGGTAAATTTTGCTTTTGAGGTTCGCATAAATTGTTGAAAACTTTGAAGAGCATATGTGCATCAATTATTGGGTAAGATGTTGAAAATTTTTACTATGTAAACGGCCCACATATATAGAGTAAACAGAAAACACCCGTACATGTTTGTCTTTTACGTGTAGACTTTGGTGTCCCGCTGGGAAACAGGTGGAAATTACGGGTAAAAATGCTGACATTAGCAAAAAATTGGTAAAGAAAATGGCGATAGTCTCGTACCCGTAAATCGAAACCGATGGAGGTGATGATGGTCATCTGTTGAGATTATGGTGATGATAACGTTGGATATTGTGATGTAGGTAATGGTGGTTCATGCTGTGCATGGTGATGGTGGTGCTGCATGGTGGTGGTGATAATGGTACTAATGACAGTGACAAATATATGCTGGTGGTGATGATGCATGTTGATGATGGTGTTGATGATGCTGGATGGTGATGATGCTGGTGGTTATGTCATTCATGATGGTGATGATGTTGGTGGTGCATTGAAATTGGTGATGATGCTGTGGGGCATTGAAATTGGTGATGATGCTGTGGGGCATTGAAATTGGTGATGATGCTGTGGGGCATTGAAATTGGTGATGATGATGATGATGCTGGTGGTGATGACATTCATGATGGTGATGATGCTGGTGGTGCATTGACATTGGTGATGATGCTGGCAGGGCTCAAATTTTATCTCGGCAATCGCGGCAATTGCCGTAGAGCAAGAACAAAATGCCGTTGATCATTACGGCAACGACGGCAATCTTTTGCCGTATAGTGCAATTTTTATACTATTCACTGTGCATTACTACTTTGATACTTGAATTCAGATGTTAATCATGCGTAAATCACTATTTTAGTCTCAGTTTTCTTCGAAAAAAAAAACATAAAAGAAATACGTAGACATGTTTCTAGCTTGTCAAAAATCCAAAGTAACAATAAAATTAAAGTTTTATTACAGTAATTTGAAAAATGCTGTGGAAACTGCCAAAATTGCCGTAGACAGCTGTTACGTTCTACGGCAATTTTTAACGCCATGGCCGTCGATTGATTTCAGGGAAATTCGAGGCCTGGATGCTGGTGGTAATGATGATGCTGGATGGTGATGATGCTGGTGGTCATGCCATTCATGATGGTAATTATGCTGGTGGTGCATTGACATGGTGATGGTGCTGGTGACATTGGTGATGATGCTGGTGGTCATGCCATTCATGCTGCTGGTGATACCAGTGATGATACTGGTGGTGATGCTGCTGGTGGTGATGTTGCATCAGGCAATGATGATGACGGTAAGGAATGTTATTGCGATGGTGCGATGATGATGGCAATTCTCCTTACTGTACTGTATTTAACAAATTTTTCTATCAAACAGATCCCTTACTTTGTAGCCCACTTCTGCAATTCATCATCTATATATTTCTTGGTTGTCTTGGGTTGTAATCCAAGTGAATGTCCACATAAATATACACATGGCTCCTCTGGGTTTATTAATTTTATAAAATCAGCTAAAAAATTGAGCAATACTTTAAATATTAGATATATAACTATAAGTATAGCCTGGGGCCGGTTGTATAAAAGTCTTAATCACTTTTTTAATCACTATTTTGTAGTTAAATAGTGATTAACTCTCAAATAGGCACTTCTTATTGGATGACGTTTCCACTAACTATAGTTAACTTTAATCACTTTTTTATAATACAACCGGCCCCTGGTGCATTAGAGGAGGGTGTTAGTTGATGGGGTATATCGTGAGTTGTGATTCATTTATCGTTTCAGAACACTTTTCAAAGATTTACCGTTAAAATACCTGAATGTTTACTTATTGTTACCGTCAAAGTACCAAAATTTTTACTGTTTTCTGATTTTCAGACAAACCCCCCCCCCCTCCATCTACACCCTCTTAGAGAACACAATGCAACTTTGTTAACAAATTATCTAGACACATAGGCAGATAGTTTGAGTAACCCTTTCAGGGCCATGCCAAGTGGTTTTTGGTAGGGGGGGGGGGTGAAATAAAAAATTTGGGCCCCCTCCCAGTTATAGATACACATTATGACATTATAATGTGGGATGAGCCACCGAGGTGAGTGCTATTGGCTGCCTTAATTGTGACATAATTGACTAATGAAAGTGCTTTAACATTCTTATATAATAAAGTAGGGTGCATTAGGGTGCGAAGCTGGGTGTGAAGCAGCTCAATGGGTTATGGTAAATATATTGAAAATACAGTATAAAATCATTGAAAACTGAGATCTCTGTTGCTGCATACAAACTTTCTACAGTGGAGTTCATTGATTTAACTTTTTTCACAGAGATCCTCGCGGACCCCATGCTCCTTTCCTCAAAAATATGCCAGCTACACACATAAAAATGCACAAGTTGTAACAAACCTGCAGCAGACTTGTAGCAATGCCATTCCAACAGCTTGTCAACAGGATGTGTTCGCACTGCTTGTTCCCAGCTTGTTGACAAGTTGTCAACGGCTTGTTGACAACTTGCTACAAGGTTGCTCAGTTCAACAGAGTCTTGTTACAAGTTGTTCTAACAATTAACTTGTTATCGACTTATCGTCCTGCAATTCAACAACTTGTCAACAAGTTGTGAGTGACAAACTTGTAGCAACGTGATAAAATAACAACATTGTTACAACTTGTTGACATGCTTGCTACAAGCCTGTTGTGAACACATCTTGTTGACAAGTTGTGAGATTTTTACCAATTGCACCACCGGCTGCAATATAAATATTTTGCTGGACTTTCCCATTCTACAGCAAATAACTTAATTTTGGATTTTTGCAACCCATAATCTCTTCCATTTCATTAAATTGTTTATTTTCTGTTTACTGAATTGTAACAAAATATATACCACGTGTAGTTTTATACTAAATTTGCAAATATGTAGTTAATAATTAAATGCCGAACTACACATACAAACTATTTTAACTTACCTAACGGAATATCTGAGTTCTTTGGAATATAATATTCATTTCTGAACTCTTTTAGCGGGTCACAATCGTCTAGATATTTAGCAAAATCTTCGTGAAAGATATTTAAAGCAGATTTATTATTTAATTCAAGCAATTTTGCTGTCGGTTCGAACATTTTTGAGGATTAAATATAGGAGATTTGTACCTGGGTGCAAGTGCCGGTACATTATAGTCGGTTGCATCATGAAGCAATTATCCAATCTTGAGTAAGAAATTAGTCACGTGCATAGTCTTTATACCAGCTAAAGAACACTTTAACAAAAGACTATTGTTATGCAAACTATATAAAGATTTTTATATAAAGATTTTTATAGAAAGATTTGACTTATTATGCAAACGTTTTTGAAGCCATTTAAGAAACTCTTTAAACCTAATAAAACACTCCTGCTCGTTTTTTAAATAGTACATAAATAGTATATTGAAAATCATTAGAAAATCCTGTGTTATTAATTTATTACGTTATATCTTTATATAATAGTATAATGAAAAGCACTTACATGTGTTTCCTGAAAGATTTTAACGAGAACCGGCCAAGATTGGCGTTGTTAAAATCTTTCAAGAAACACATGCAAGTGCTTTTCATTATACTATTATATAAAGATATAACGTAATAAATTAATAACACAGGGTAAGATTGGGCCGCTTGTGGTTGCATTAGACTCAGTGCTTCCATTTTCAAAATCAAAATTTCTCATTTTTGTCATCAAAATTTCGCTAAATTCCTTAGATTGTATACGTTATTTCCTTCAAAATTCCTTGAAATTTCATTAGGCGGTTTACAGTGCTTTTGTAGCAATACAAAGGATTTAATCAATTTTAAATGCACAAAATAGCACAACTAACAAAGATGATTGCTAGCTAAATAACCACAGGCTATTATACTGTTTAAAATTAAATATTTGTCATGAGTTTACAACATACACCTTCCATTGATATAAAAAATTAATTATTCACAGCGTTTGGCGCCAAAAGTTACCAAATTCCATCGCTCAAAAACTTTCGGAAGTTTTCGGAAACACGAGGAAAAAGTTAAAAACAGATTTTTAATTAAACATAATTGATAATTCACTCAAAAATTCAAGAAATAGTGAAACTTTCTTCTGCACTAATGCCATTGGATGAATATTTAAGTTGTTCGGAAAAAAATCCTTAGATTTCCTTAGATTTTTTCTCTTCCTTAGATTTTCCTTTTCGACACTAGAATTTCCTTAGAAAAGGAAATTTCCTTGAAAATGGAAGCACTGATTAGACTTTCCAAAGTCCTTTCCAGGCCCTTTTGCGGCGCGCTTCACTTCATTCGTCGCTCGGGTCGCGCGCTCCCTCCCCCGCGCCCTCCCTCCCCCGTGGTCGACTTGTGGCAAGTCTACGGTTGCATCAGCATGGTCCAGACAGAGAAAAGTTCAAGGCTTCGTTACTCTGGTTCCAGGAGCTCTGTAGTAAAGAACGGCGAAGCAAAAATAATAGTGGCGATCATGATCAATGGTTGTGATTATGGTAAAGATGATAATGGTGATGACGGTGGTTGTGATTATGTTATTGATTATGGTGATGTTCGATAATGGTGATAAGGCATGATGGTGGTTGTGAATTTGTGATAATGGTGACGATGATAATCTAGATAGTGGTTGTCGATTATGGTGATGATGATAATAGTGATGATCATGATGGTGATGACGATAATCATGATGGTGATTGGGATTATGGTGATGACGATAATGGTGAAGATCATGCTGGTAATTGTCATTTAGTAATGATGATGATGAAGATCATGATGGTAATTGTGATTGATTGGGGAATAACACCTTGAGGCTTTGGTATATGGGTAACCGGTGGTCTTCTCTTTCTGGGTGATGGTATTTGCATCGAGTACCGTAGGTACATTATCGGCCATAGGGGCACACCCTTCGGTGTGTCTGGGTACCCTTATGGAGGAACTCGTCAAGGTTCGGTCCAATTATGGTGATGACGATAATGGTGAAGATCATGCTGGTAATTGTCATTTAGTAATGATGATGATCATGATGGTAATTGTGATTATGGTAATGATGATGATGGTGGTTGTGATAATGGTTTGATTATGGTGATGACAATAGTTGTGATTATGGTGATGATAATAATAGTGATAAACATGATGGTGGTTGTGATTATGATATGATCATGATGATGGTAAAGCGATACGTGTAGACCAGTAGTGCTGAATAGACCGATTTAGGTCGAGGACGCGGACGTCAAAGACGACGTGAAAATGACGTCAAAATGGCGTGGCATATCCGTACATAGGCACAACCAGGGCGCTTATATAGTATATTATATAGCTTATATAAGCGCCCTGGGCACAACACGCCATTTTCACGTCGTCTTTGACGTTCGCGTCCTCGATCTAAATCTGTCTAATATTTGTAGAAAGACCGCACGTCAAATAAGACAACACAAAAATAACATTCATGGTATATTTAACGGCACATAGTGCAGTTATTGTTAAAAATTATTCACATTTACAATTTCCAGTCGTGAAGGCCTGATCTATTACTAAGTGCATTTTTGCCTAATGAAAAACACTGAAGTTTTCAAGTGAAATTACAACTTTAAATGTGACAAAATTAACGTTAAGAATTAAAAAGTGAGAAAATAGGAGCTTGAAACTTAGATAGCCTTCGGCCTTCACAACTGAATTTGTTGTTATTTGAGTGCTATATACATAATTACATCAAATTATTAAATTCTCATAGAGACTACTGAATTTCATACGAAAAAACACCGTAAATTTATGTTCTTTTACCCAACCCATCCTAGTTATAAAATCCCAACAGACGACTAATATTTACAATTTTGAGGTTGAAAAACTACCTTATACAATTACAAATTATTTACATATTACAAAAATTGTCAATAATTGTTAAAATTACAAGTGAACTGTTTAACTGAAGGTTGTAGACTGAGCGTTTCCTTTTACGGATCGACTATTTCCTTTGTGGGTTTTGCGACTGTCGGTTGTGTCTGCGCATAAACAGTTTCTCACACTATGCGATCGCACCTTTCCGCTATTTTTGGGCGGAACACCACGCAAACATAACATGACGACGACAACAAGACTTTCAAAATGGCGGCTATTTTTCAAGATGGCGGCTATTTTTAAGATCGCAAAAGAATCAAAGCAGGACACCTATAACAAACTTAAACGGCTAAACCTTACCCTAAACCCACCCCAATCCTAAAGCCTGGTTTACACTGCCAAAGTTTATGTGCTCACAGTAGGAATTCTGAATTGGTAAATTGTAAGTTTTGAAGGATTTGTAAGAAAAGTTTGAGCAAACTGAGTAGAGCAAAAAACCAAAAGTTCCCTCAAACATTTCTCCTTCAAAACTTAGAAGTTACCCGATGCAAAATTCCTACTGTGGTAATAGAAATTTTGATGCTGTTAAATGTCGGTACATTAACCCAAAACTAAAGCGAACTCTGAGTTTAAATTTTGAACTATATTGAAAGCCTCCCTCTCGGAGTCAGTCGAACTCTTTTAGCCATTAACCACACAACAAGTGAAGAAGTGACCCAAGGCCCGATCGCATGGTGTGAGAGTTTAATTGAACAAAACCCGACAAAGAAATGATCTACTTCGATAAAAGAGTCGCTTTTTGTAAATTCACCTTCGCTTCAGCGCATCATACTTAGTACGAGGCTTGCCAGCTTATCAGCGTCTTTTTCTTGTGGGTACTTTTTCATGATATTCAGAATGAGAGCTTCTTGATTGGGGAATAACACCTTGAGGCTTTGGTATATGGGTAACCGGTGGTCTTCTCTTTCTGGGTGATGGTATTTGCATCGAGTACCGTAGGTGCATCTTCGGCCATAGGGGCACACCCTTCGGTGTGTCTGGGTACCCTTATGGAGGAACTCGTCAAGGTTCGGTCCATGACGGCCCAACGGGTCATCCGGCGGCATGAACATGTCATTCACAAAGGAGTACATCAATAACCTCTGTTCAATAACCTCTCGCCATCTGTGATTTTCCGAAGCAAGATCCTTGAAATTGTCATTCGAGACTATAACACCATCAGTGCTCTCGGCAAGTTTGATCACAAATCGATCATCGTAACAGACAATGCGTCTGCCCTTGACTTTTCTTGAAGGCGTAAACGTCAGGTATCCCTGCTCCTCGAGCTGATACAAAAAGTGCTGGTCGGTGATCGGGTTGTCTATCTTGGAAGACTCTTTTCTCCATGATGGTACGAAAACGGTGATTTGCTTGTGACCTCTCCGCCGAAACCATTCCACGCACAACGCGATTCCTCGGCATGAGAAGATTTTGTTGTTACCATGGCTGGAAAGAGGAAAATTTGTATGAGAAAACATAATCAATCAACATTCTACTGAAATACAGAACTGGAAAATGTTTATTTCTCTCTGGGAATTAGGGCTCAAGAGTGCCATATATATTATATTATTATTATTATAATGAACTTGCTGTCCTTTTCACCTAACATGGATTATGTAAGGGCAGATAGTCTGATTAACCCATTGCGTGTCAGCGCTCTCGCCTTGAAGAGTAAAATCGTCTGGTATTAGACAGAGTAAAATAATAAAGTAGGGTGTATTAGGGCGTAATGAAGGTGTATTAACAAAATTTAGGGGAACTAAACCTAAAACGCAACAGGTGATATTGCATCAGCTGCTCAAAATATTTCCCATTTTTCTCTCTTGGTTCAGCCGAAGACTTCCCAAAAAGCTAATGCTTCCCAAAATACCATATTGCGCACACACCGCAAGCGGAAAGTGACTCATACAGATGATAATTTACAAGGAAATATATAGTTTGGAGGAAACGAAAGTCACACCACACGTGAAATATGGAACGCTTCAACTAAACTATGGTTATTCAAAATAACAGCTGGGTTTGGAATACCAATGTTTTTGTTGCGAAAAGCTGAAATATATTGTTCCTATGGTCTGAAAGGTCACCCCAAATCATTGACCTCGAGTAAATTAGAAAAAAAATTTCACAAAGGTATATCCTTTAAATCAATCAGAAAACCAAACAAAACTGGCTACATTGCAATATTCTATCCGCTATAACAAGGAACTATTCAAGCATGAATTAACGCACGCTTTTCAAGTAAAAGAAGAGGCTTTTTATTGACCATGTGCCAATGTTTACATAGGTATGAACTTCCTGCATTATTAAACAGTTGACCTTGTGTAACCGCGCTTCAAAATTTCCGTGTTGAAATAGATAGAACATCCTGTCATGTGTTTGGTCTTTGTGCGAAGATCAAAACCCCTGGTGTCATCAATATATGAAATAATCTAAAACCCTAGTTGCTTTCTCCCAAATTCTACAACTGGAAAGCTATATTGGTACATGAACAATTAGAACAACAACACGATATTTCGAATCACGGCCAGTGAGCTGGCTTGCAAAGAAAAATATGATATAAATTATGGTATTAACAGCACTGTCATTTTTTTTTTATTTGAACTGCGTAAGAACCGACTTTATTGCCATATTGGTGTAGTTTTCGACAACAGCAGGAAATCGGACCGAAGTTTTTTTTTTAAGGGTTGGTATCAAACAGAAAGTATTTTGTAAGAATGCGTGACAGCTCACATCTTGCAGCATTACTGCCATATTTGACCACAAAACTCGGTTCTCTAATGGTATTGCAAATACTAAACATGTCAGACTTGACTATAAGGCTGCTCCACAAATGAGAGTTTCGAAGATGTCCGAATTTTCAAGGTACTCATTGATTAAATTAGGCAAAAGTATACGCTGGAGTGCTGTTTAATGTCTTTCACAAAACTAAAAAAAAAAGATTGCCATGCATGATTGTCTAACTACAGAATTAAAGTATTTAAATGTGTGACACTTGTCACAAATTGTAATTCTTCACATATTTATTTTATATTCGTCAATGCAAATATACCCGTTCACAAAGATTTTTTCTTTGCATGCACTTACAAAAATAACTGTATGCCAGGGTCTATTTCAGATGATTGATACTAAAATAAACCTACAAATTCTTATCAGCTCTTCTTTGAAAATTAGACAATTAATCTGTATGATTACAGAGGACTCTTTCCAAATAAGGGTATCTACAGTACCTTGAACATTTTATTATGCTTACCTTTGGAAGTAAACAAAATTTTTTTAAAAATTGATGTCTAATTTTAGACAAATCGAATTGTGCATATGCAAAGCATTCTATTTTGTAATTGTGTTTGCTTTTGGAAGTTTATGCAACATTTTTTTAAAGATCACTAACAATCAATATATGGACGTCTCATTTGAACAATGACCTGTGGTCAAAACATTTCCTTGTTCCAAATTTGATTAGTTAAACTCACAGTAGGCTTTCAATGAAAGCTCTCTTTGAAATATATACGATTCCTACTTCCTTATCAGATATACAACTTATTAAGCTGCAATGTGCCCCAATGCCTCGATTTCGTTATTGCTCCGTCTAATACCAGATTACTAGTAATGGGTTTTAAATGAAAGCTCTCTTTGACAGACATAATATCTCCTATTTCCTTTCCTGCACAGCATATAACTCATTAAGATGAAACATGACCAAATCCATGCGCTTTGCTATATTTAACTTGGTCTAATCCCAGAAATTGTATTTGCCGAGGAAAAATGTTTGGTGGTTTAAATTAATAACCAGATTACCTGCAGATTTCATAGTTAACCCATTAAGCCGCAATGCGCCCAAATGCTGATTCAAGAGAAAGTTATTTGTGGTTTTGCATGGCGATAGCATAATATAACTTTCAGTTCGTGAAAACACCATGTATATATTACCACTGATGAAGATCAGGGCTTACGAACCGAAAGCTTTGCAATAATAAGTATACATGGCATTTTCACAAACCAAAGCTTATGAAGGGAAAGTGTTTTGAATTAAAGGCTTATTAATCAGACTATCCGCCCATGTGGCCTAAGCTACAATATGTTGTATTGTAGCTATGTTGTTACACTAGTCTGTCTAATGCAAGATATTTAAACTGCCTGTAGCATAAAATGAAAGGTTCTTTTGATATAGCACACCTAGCAACTTCCTCTTCAGATATTAGAAAAAGGAAGTTTTTTTCCCAAGCGAATTAAACAAGTTTCTTATTAATTGTAGAATATTAAGTATGCTTGACCCCACATTTGAAACATGACATTCATTAAAATACCTCAAACGTGAGTCAGACATGACTTTCGCTTAGCTTACCTCATAGCAACGTTACTGCCATCAATCACAATGTGTCGCAAGTCTGACTGCGGAAATTGCTGATACTTCGACGTCATCCGGTCGACCATTTGATCGACTTGCTGAGGGTCGGAATTCAATGCATATTCGCTTCCTTGAGTCAAATACGAGCTGTTTGACCATTCTGAACTTGTGTAGGTAGAATTACTACCTTGGGTTGTTTGAGACGTAGTCCTGGGGATAAGACCGCGAGCGATAATGTCGGACTGGCTCAAACTGCTACCCTGTGCAGATGGCGCCACATTTCGGGGCGTAAATCCATGAGCAATAACACCCGATCCGTTTGTATTGCTTCTTTGGGTAGATGGTCCAGTTGTTCTAGGTATAATGTACGGGTTAATTCCATTGCTCACTTGCATATAATCTTGGTTAGGGTAGCCCTGTGGATTATTTGGGGGTGGAATTTTGACAGCCGGTCGAGGGATAATACCTCTAGCGACTACGCCATTCTCTGCACCATACATTTGAGAATTCATACTAGCAGATGACAGAATTCCATTGGCAACAACCATTTCACTCGGGTGTCTGGCAAATTGTTCTGGTCTACTCAAGGCAGCAACGCCCCGCGGTGATGCAGGCACCCGTCTTTCGTCTGTCCTGGAACCTGCCCCCGAAACATTTATAAGTTCGTTCAGAAAGGTGTTCTTGTCAACGGTTGGTCCAAGCTTCTCAAAAACCCTATTTATTTGCTCTTGCTCATATCCAAGTTTCAAAGCAAAATCGTCAAGCGCTCGGTTGGCCTTCGGTTGAGACGCTTTCGGCAGTTGAGATGTTTTTGGCAGTTGAGATGTTTTTGGCAGTTGAGGCGGTTTCGTTTGGGTGCTACTGCTAGAATATTTCGATATAAGATCTTCTAGTTTTGTCGACGCCAGAATAACATTCATCGTGCTGCCCCGGATGACCGCTTTCGTGTCCTGCGGGAAACGGATAACGACCCCATATTCCGACTCAAGCTTAAAATGCTCGTTAGTACGAGGTCCAAAGATTTTGATCAAGGAAGTGGGAACAGTCACCGAATTTTGTTCCTGTGCATTTGTCAGTGCTTGTATGTAGCTCTGCGAATAAACACAACATACATGTCAAGAAAATGATTATGAAATTAATTATGATTAAAGTATATTTGGGTTCTAGAACAATTGCTTCTAAATTTGAGGGCCAAAGGTATGTGCGGTATGAACTTCCTCTGCAAGCATCAAAGACCTCTCAAAGCAATTAATTAATCATTTTAGCTGCATGGGCATCAACCAACTTTGTGAATTTATTTCGAGTCGGTTTTAATTCAAGTTGACGAAATTTCAACAGGAATTAAGTATAAACGTGATTAGCTTTCTAATAAAAATTCACGTATCTTGCAATTTGATATTTTAAACGCCTACTTACTAAACACACATTGCAAACGGTTTAAAATTTAAATTTGGCATCAATTCAAATTTTAGAGCTTTCGCAACTTCGGCCCCCACAAAGTTCAATTTCTCGTATAATGCCTCTACATCGATTCTTTTTCGAAATGAATAGCCCTCATACAGTATTCTATGTGGAAAACAGGTTCGGTCGTGTTGTGTTCACATATAAATATATAAATTATATATTGGTTGCGGGTTTTGTTCAAACCCGTAGAATTTACGTCTATAGCCTCTGCAAAGCGCGCTTTCTGTCGCAATTTAACGGTTTATATTCCAAGCAAAACAGTCCTAAGACATCTTAAAACCTTCACGAGATGAAGGCTTTAAATAATACACAGAAATAATCATAAATATGTCATAGGACTGCTTTGCTTTGAATGTTATAGAATGTCGGCATTATATATGCCGATCATGAACCCAAAATATATCGTCATTTATGGCCAACTTTAAAGGAATTTGGTACAAAACAAACCCTCATACCTTCGCTTTCTCTAGTTGTCCTCCTCTGAGAGTAATCCATACTTTTTCGGCCGTACCATTAGCGATCGAAATGTGAACATCGAACAGTTCGTTAATGCGGTTCAAATTATCCTCAACGACACCGCGTTGTCTTTGCTCTATTACGAATTCCGTGGACATTGTCGTTTCGTATAAAAAGTCTGTTGATATATTCTCTTGTGTGATTAAAACTACAACACATAGCTCTCACAAGCTGTAAAATTTCTGTATTGAACTGGTAAACCGAACATCAGAGGAAGTCTTTTATAAATTTTCCAGGCAGGAAGTTATAAGACTAAAATAAAGACCACGTCGTTCAGATTTGTAACGTCCCCGGGGTGGGTGGGGGTAAAAGCTTTTCCCAGAATAAAGCCTCCTTTTAGACATTAATTCTTTCAACTCGAAACCCCGGCATGAAACTCTGAAAATCTTTGATACATATTCTCGATATTTTGTATTAAAATAGTATTAAAATATGCTATTGTGAAGGAAATATATTCTATTTATTTATGCAAAATTCGGTACTACCCCTCCCCTAAGACCATTAAAAGTACAATGGTTGCTGAATATATACGTACTTTGAGTGCGTCATTGTTGAGGTTGCATAGCGAAACAGCGCCTAATTTAGTCATCGAGCGCCCCATTTGCAAGCTTTAACCATTACGTTAATTTGTTCCCAGCTATCTAAGTTTCACAATCGTTTATCGTTTTTTTTTCTGCGAAACGAGTTTAGGATTCTTTTATATGACAGTGCAGTACATAAACCGATCAATTCATATATCATGTGGTAAGGCCTGGTAACGTTTCCTTTAAATATGCAAAACACATCACAAGTTACAAAGAATTTAAACACGAAATTTTCACTTTTAACTTCGTGGAATATAGTATACGGGTGCTTTAATTCCTCCTGGGCTCTAAATAGATATGAAATTTTAATTTTAACAAGAAAACCACAGGGTTCAAAGGCCTTTAACTAAAACAGCAGGTCAATTTGAATAGTTGTAAAACCCCGCGTATTCTAATTCCAAAGCAAAGGCGTTTAAACCCATCGAAAAGCATTCGGACTACGGGATTTAAAAACATTTCGAAAGGTTTTGTAACTGTAAACGAGTGTTCAAAAAGTACAGAATAGTATTTGTCTCAAAATTCTGTTTAATATTTTGATTTGGATGACATGGTAAGTTATTCTAAGACCAAGTCTAAGAAAGAAAACTGCAAATGATGCACTTTCGTTTTGCATTTTTGTGGCCTTTTATTGAATTTGATAACAGTGTGTACGTTACAGGGAATTTCGAATTTCGTTTATGCGATAATTTACTGCCTTCAAACTATAAATAGAACTGAATGCCGATGATTTGTAATTTTTACTATTCATTGAGTATGATTGGTATTATTAGGCTCACAGAAACTGCGTGGTCATCAGTATAGTAATGGGCATGCTTGACCGTGTTTGTGGTTGGGTGCTGGTCCAGTGGTCAATATTGGTTAACAGAGAAAATTCCCTATACTATATATATATAGATTATGGAGTAAATTAATCACGGATCCCCAACCGATAAATCAAATTATCAATATATGCTTAGCGTGTAGAAATTATATATAAAATTGGTGATGACAATATAGGATGTAATACAATATTTAATACTGCACGGATTTCAATTGGGGAGAGTAATAAAAATTAACCTATGGTATGGCAATGGTTATGACCTAGTTTGTATTTTAAATTTTCAACTAACACATTGTACGAAATTCCAGTCCGTTGTAAAACAAACGGCATCGACCTTGTTGTATTTTCTCCCATTCTTGGCGAATTTTTGCCAAAAAAGGATAGTATTTAAAGACCAAGCTGCTTGAAAATGTCTGGTTTATATGCGAGTCGACGGATGGAAGAACGACCTAACATTTAGTCTTATTTTCACGAGACATGAAAAATCGCAAAAACCCCTTCTCGTGTTCAGGAAAATGTCGAAGCAGTTCACGTAAAAATACAGAGGAAATTCGTGGAAATATTTTATTACGTAACAAGCTTGCTATATTCCGGTGCTTAACTGTTTGAAGTCTAGGTCTCTCGCTCGCTGCACGTCAATCAAGTTAAAATAACGAAAACAACAGGAATTTCCTATTCCCTAGGGATTCACGCAAAACAAACGATTCGTCGTTTACCGTTCCGGCTAATTTCACGTGCATACGATCACGAAACTGTAGCGTAATCATCATTGATCACGTTTCAGAGCGAAAAATATAAGCGGTTCCTGAAATAAGCATGAGCACATCTGCCACAAGCGTGGGACATGTGGAAAAGGATCTCTTTTTTTATCACACTTACTTAATGCCTGTGTGAACAGTCATGAAATATTAGCACACCCTTATAAGCACAAGTGCTTATTTCATCATTTATAGACTTCTCTTATAGGCTGCATGCAGATTGATAAAGGAATTAAACTATGAAAAATACAAGTGGAACTTGGACGTTTCGGGCAATTGGCCCTTTCGACGTTTGGCCTTCGCTCGAAACGCCGAAGTAATTTTCCTAGTGTATTTTTCATGTGGTTCAGTGAATGACTTGAATCCCTTTCGAGCTCAATTCGCAGCTTTTTTGTGTTATATTGGCACAGTCACAGAGCTTTCGAGTTTTTAGACTTCCTTCAGCCCATTCTTTGTTTGCAATGACGCATTAATTTTGTGATTTCAGCTGACGGGCAGGTATAACAAATAACAAAAAACGGCTATTTTAATGTATTGATCGAGTTTAGAGACTGTTTAAGACTCAAAAGATGAATTACCGTTCAGTGTTTCTTGCTACAACCATTCTGATAGGAGAAAAATCGTCCACAAGTTGTTCAATTGTCCGTCATTTGGATGAAAAGTCACGTGATTGCAAACAAAAAGAATATGGCTGCCAGGAATCTTACTACCTCTTTGTGTTTTTCTGCATGTCTAGGCGTGTTTGTCTGCCAACAGGTAACTTAATTTAAAAAACATCAAAAGTATTAATACGAAAATTAGTACGATATTACGTATTAATATAATGCCTTTAATGGACATTACCCAAGGAAAAATTGATTACAATTTGGTTCAATTTGGATGAAGCAAAAGTTTGTCGTGATTTGCCCTTTGGCTTTGTTATATTTAAAGCAATTTCAGTACATGGTGGCTAACTGGTGTAATTTGAAGCGTGTATACTAATTTTGTCCATGCCAAGACCCAAGTGCAGAAAAAATGAGCATAGCCATAGACAAAAGTCTACACCGCTTTTTTAGTACTTGCTGTAACGTTCCGGCCAATCCAATTTCCTTGTGGGTACTAAATTACGATAAAATATGGTAAAAATGTTGGCTCGGCAAGGCGTGTTACATTTTGAGCGATGTGAAAAGCATAATTACATATTACATCATTTTAATTTAGGCCCACGAAATCTGTGGGAGACGTACTTGTAGCGAAAATCAACGATGTCACGACCACACATTAACATGTAGTATTATCATCCCACACAGTTACAAGCAACGATTCAAGTCCCTAGCCTTACTCCTTAGCCTCTAATGCACCAATGACTTGGAATGAATTTCCGGCTACAATGGGTCAAAGCAAAGCGCAGTTGTTATAGACTATACTATACCTTATAAATTCACTTTGTCAAAGGCCTTGTAGACATTTTGCCTGGTTATAGCCAGGTCTATATAAACATGTATCAGTATAAATTTGCGTTCGAAAAAGCGAACTACAAAAGTTCTATAAATTTCCCTCTCAGCCGGATTTTCTTCCCTGGTGCCGAAAAATGTAACCGTTATTTTGGAAATAAAGACCAAGTGTGTGTAAGGCTTTAACCGTCAAAAACGTATAGATAGCTATATGTCAGCGTGGGAAATTCTGGCCAGGAATTGAAAACCGATGACGTGCACCAAGTTTGCTTCAAGTTCTGTTGCAGCACAAAGGAGTGTGAAAACAACATAATTACACATTAATTGCCTTTAATTTCAAGATCGGTGGGGGAAAAGAGCTTTACTCATTTAGATACAATTTGTGGGCTTGTAGTTGTAGTTGTATTTTCATGTAAATCCATCGTATTTTATATATTAATTGTATAGACTATACTCTATAGTCATATGCCCACACTGCAAGGGCACTTTAGATAATTTATAAAGATTAAAGAAAGCATGATCCCACTCATCTTAACATTCAATATATCTTTCAAATAGATCATTTTGACACAATCTTCCTGGTTGATGCAATACAGAAACAAAGAGAATTTACAGCTATATGAAAACGTCTTTTACTGTCTTAGCATGTTACCGGTTCGAATTCCACATCATGTATTGAAAAGATATGTCATGTAACTCAAACTCTGAACTTTAGTCTTCACATGTGAAATGTGTATTTTCACATGAGAAATATTCCAATTATTTCACATCAAATGTAATGAATAATATGTGAAATATTGGTTCGCTTCTAATTTTGAGCGTTTTGGTTTTTGGGTCGTTTAAATGTCAATTGGAGACGGCTTTTTTATGGAATATTGTTTTGTATCAAATAGTTTCTAAGATACATGATATACTTTTGTAGGGTTACTATGATACGCAAATAGAAATGAATTGAATTTTGTATTCGTTGCCTATGGCTATGCTTGAGTTGCCGGCACAGATGTATATTCAAAGACTGACATAGTCATAGAAACCACGGGCACGGAAACACCGTCTATTCATTGGGACTACGGTAGTACGGACTCTTTGTCAAGTTTAAAAAGTTAAATTTTGAATGCAGGGTTCTATTGTACAGATAAAGCAGTAAACAAGATACTTGTGAGACTACAGGCCGGATCCTGAAAGTACCTTAACTTAAGGAGTTAAGAAGATACGAACTGAACTTTGACTTCGAGCGAACGCCCATAAAAAAGTGAAAACCTTTTGTTTTGCCTTTTGGCTTTAAGTAAGCTTTAATTACTTTTAGATATGACTGAGAACATTCTACAGCAAAATTCGTAATATCCGAATATACAATTCTGACTTGAAGTTTATTTTATGCTACAAATTCGGTGCATGTGAAAGTGAGTCGGCAAAAACTCAATGTCAATGTCCAATGACAATGCGGGAATTAGCAATTGATTTTAATACTGTTTCTGCTCAAACTATGACACGGCAAATTTGGCTACAATTACTTTTTATTATAAAAATTCCCATTGCAAAAAGTCCCAAAGGGTGTATCGAAACTGTATTGTGATATTGGGCAGGGTAATTTCAAAATTTGTTTATTTTTATACCGTATTAACAGCTTTTATACCGAAATGTAAAGAGAACTTTCCAGAACAAGCTTGAACCGCCATGTCATACCGTTGCCATGGCGACCCACGTACTCACGTAGGTTTTGAACAAGCGTTATTAGCAATCAGCGGATACACACCCAAATGACGTCAGCGCACGGACACTTGAGTTTTATTAAACGGAGTTACGTGGGGTTACAAAGAATTACATAATTATATTTTATTGTGTTCTGTGAATTAATTTCGGTTGCCTAGTGATTTACAATTACTTTATGCGCACAGAATATTGTCTTTCGTGCATAGTATAAATTCTTGAAACGTACACGTCTTTGTTAAATTGTTTAGCCCATTGTTAGCAATGACATATGTGGCATTTCCAAAGCGTCCGCACGTCAAATAAGGCAATCTATTTTAGGAAGACTTTCTAGGCTTTTCTATATAGACATAAAATTAGGTTGGCATCTTGGAGGACGTGGGCGCTATCCAATACAAGTAACGTTAGTTTAGTTCCTGTAGTAACACCAGAACAAACGTAGTAAAATAAGAGATAATTCTTATTGCATTCCCACTGAGAGAGAACAGTTTAGAACTATCCAGTATGAATAAAATTCAGGAGCCGGTTGTCCAAAGGTGGGTTAGCGCTAACCCTGGGTTAAAATTTAACCTGCTGTTTTAGTTTGTGTATTTCTGCACGTCTGTTTATTTCAAAACTTCAGAGAAGTAAACTCCTATCGATCTAGACAAGATCTCTGAAGAAATATTTCCAAACTTATAGAAAAGCTGTGAGGAAGTTTGCTTTGAATTTTAGGTTAACCTAGGGTTAAACTAACACAGCTTTGAACAACCGGCCCCAGTTCAACTATTCGAGTACACACGTAAAAATCACGTTGTGTTCGCAACAGGCTTGCAGCAAACTTGTCAATAAGTTGTGACAATGTTATTTTATCAAGTTGCTGCAAGCTTGTCACTCACAACTTGTTGACAAATAATTAGACAGCCGATTTAGATCGAGGACGCGGACGTCAAAGACGGCGACGTGCAAATGGCGTGGCATGTCGATACACGGGCACAACACGCCATTTTCACGTCGTCTTTGACGTCCGCGATCTAAATCTGTCTATTGTAGCGAATTGCAGGACGATAACAAGTTGTTGGAGCAACTTGTAACAAGTTTGTCGAGCTCAACAACCTTGTAACAAGTTGTCAACAAGCCGTTCGCAACTTGTCAACAAGCTGGGAGCAAGCAGTGCGAACACATCCTGTTGACACGTTGTTGGAACAGCATTGCTACAAGTCTATTGCTGCAGGTTTGTTACAGCTTACAAGTACGTTTTTACGATGGGGGGGGGGGGGCAAGGGGGGTATCGTCACGAAATCACGAAGATCATTTTTCGATTTCACGAGTCACGAAAAACAAAATTTCATTTTTTACGATTTTTAGATACACAGAAGCGTAACAAAGTCTGAAACCATTTAACACATAATGACTTTCACATTAGAGCCGTTTAAAAGGACTATGGAAATCATTGCGAGGCATTACGGAACAATACGAGTGTCGTACGATAGTTCACGAAGAGTTACGAAGGTATACGACAAACGTTTACCGATGTAACGAAGAAACCTCAAGAAAGACAACCGCGGAAAGAAAATTAATTCATTTCCCCCCCAAAATATTAACCGAGTTTTAAACGTAAACATTCACAAGTTAGGGTAAAATATTGGTAAATTCAAGACCCTAGCTAGCCTTTTAGCTCTTCACGATTCACGGCACGCATATTAATCACGATTCACGGAATGGTATTCCTTTAAATCACGAATCACTGCTAATCACGAGTCACGAAAATACCCTTAACCCCATCACGTGTATGGATGAATTATGCATATGAATGTTGTGAGTATACGTGCCCTACATCCAAAGGTGGGTAGTAGCTAGCGAAGTAGTTGTAGTTCGCTACTGTAGCAAACTACAATTTTCAAGTAGCCAGTAGTTTTTGACTGACTTTTTTAAAACAGTAACTGTACTATAGCGAACTACATTTTGCCTAAAAGTAGCAAAGTAGTTGACTACTAGTTTCAAACAGCGAATCGCTATTCGCTACTTTTTTAAACTGATTGTTAGCAACTTGATAGAATAGCATGTAATGTTATTGAGACACGGTTTGAGTCCAATAGATAGTTATGACTTATGGAGTGTTATGAAGCGCTTACAAAAATGTTGCTTTGTGTTTACCGTTTTGCTACTCGGTAAGTCGATTTGTTATAGGTTACATTACAGCCTGAGTTATAGTAGATGCTCTAAATACAGTAAAACTAAAAAATATAGCGTAGCGAAATAGTTCGCTACATTTTTTAAGCAGTAGCTGTAGTCAGTAGCGAACTACCTTTGTTCAAAAGTAGCAGTAGTTGTAGCTGACTACATATTTTTGAAGTAGCTGTAGTTATAGCGAACCATAAAAATTGTGAATCCAACCCACGCTTGCTACATCTGAAGACATTCAGGGCTAGCTCGTTCACATCCAGCAAAAATTGCAAGTTTAAACGAGCCTTTTCGCGATGGCCTTGTATAAGAGTTTAAAAGTCAATACTTTATTCAATAAATTAATTAAATAAAAGATGATTATTTCTACAAATATTGCTTCAAAGTCTGGCAATGACGTGCTGCCATGCGACTGTGTCTATTTTACAAGAAAACTTAAATATTATAATGAATGATGATAAATAGTGCATGCTCACTAAGCCTCACTTGCCTCTAAGCCAAGGAGCTTTTGTAAGCTAAAATAAGCCCAGGGTTGAAAGCTATACCTAAAATCCGTTTTCCAAAAACCGAATTTATTCCGAATCGACTTTTCCTTTGTCGGATTCCACGGGCGTTTTCTTCGACGAAATGAGAAAAATTTCGCGCGAAGATAAGTTAGGATTTCGCTTCACCAGAGAGTACAAGTCAGTTCTGCTCACTGGAATCGCCCATGTGTAGCCTGCTCGCAGTCCCCACCCGAAAATTTGAATTTCCGGTTCTCCTTTGAACGGAATTTCGGGCTGTGAGCAGGCTACTCGTGCGCAACCATCCGTATTTCGCAGACACAATATCTCGCGAAGAATTTCGCCGTCGTGGAATCAGGCCTTAAGGAAAAAGTCGCTTCGCGCGAACAAAGGCGCCCAGTGGAAAACGGGCTTTAATAAGCCACAGCTTTATAATATTACAAATTGACTGTTTATACGAGTCGTTCGCGATTATTTAGCCAAGGCCTATTTTCGGCCTATATTGCGCATTGCATTTTGCATCCTAGACTACTGATATAGGACGGTTAAAACTCGAACTATTGCGGTCTATGTGCTGGTAGTTATAGTCTCTCTAACGGACATGCCGGGCAATGGAGTTTAAATCGATCAAGTTGGAAAGGACGATTAAAACCGTTATCATCCAAGTTATTTTACATTTTTAACCACATCATATACACCTAATTCAATACACCCTTTCGATTCTGCCAATACTGTCTAGGCCTGGGAAACTTGCACCCATGAACGATGAGGAAAGGTGTTCACTATTCATGGAAACGAGGCTCTCGGGCCAATGAGAGATTTGCGACGTAATAGACAACTTGCATGTTAGACTAATTTTTTATCTAGGCAAAAAAGTAAATCTCCGTAAAGAACTTATTAAAATTAGTAAAACTGCAAAATTTGGTTAACGAAATGTTGTAAAATTGACGGAAAATATATAGCCTTGTGAAGTTTGCATATTTTATTATGTTTGTATTACGTGCGGAAATTGTTACCATTTTTGAGCCGAAAATGGTAACAATTTCCGCACGTAATACAAACATACAAAATTTGCAAACTTCGCAAGGCTATATTTTCCAAGCTTTACAACATTTCGCAACCGAACTTTGCAATTTTACTAATTTCATTACGTTCTTTTTAGCTGTTGTGTTTCACTCTCTTCTCTTTACTTAGATTAAAATTTAGTCTAACATGCAAGTTGTCCATTATGGAAAGGGTGTATATTAACTATTAATTAAAGTTGTCCTTTCAAAATCAAAACTGAAAACCGCAAACCTCGATAACTAAATGCGAAAAGCATATGTAATCGAGTATGAATGAGCAAATTGTATTTTGCAATAGCATTGATGTTTAGCGCTGTATAGACCGGCTTATAAGTTAAAAGGACTGACAAATGAACTTGTTTTTATTATCGGCGGCAAATCACAAGCAACTGTCATACAGATATAGCTCTGACATTCATTTGATTAGCATAAAAACCAGACATATCCTTATTAGCATATAATACAAGCATGCCAAAACACTCCCAGTTTGGCGCGAACAGGACGAGGTTTGCGGTTTTCGCAAAAGGAAACCTTAATTGAATCAGCTGTATTTTCAGTTTGTTAATATTAAACCGACTTAATGACATCATGCATGTATATATGCAGGGTCAAAAATCAAAATATAATACAGGGTTCGTTCAAGGCCATGTATCAGGATTTTCAAGGTCTTTTCAAGGTCATCATGCATGTATCAGGAAATTCAAGGACTAAAGGCTGAAAATAACACTCTAGAAATTAGTAGAAAGTGACGTTAAACTGTTCAACGGCAACTGACTTTACTATGAATTTCAAACAGCTTTGGCTTTGTAAGACATAGTGAGAAAATCAATTCACAAAATGTCCAATGCTGCCAAACAATTTCAGAAAATATCCACTAAAGCAAGAACCGTGAATTTAAGGACTTTCAAGCACCTCTTTATAAACTCAAGGACTTTCAAGGTCTTGAATTTTTGTTTCCAAATTCAAGGA